GTATCCTACTTTCACGCAATTCACAGGGTTCAACAAGCAATCGATATTTCTCACGTCAAGGGTGTAATACTCTTTGTAGTAGCGGTCCTTATATATCGTATTAACAACAGAAATATGTTCGAAGAAAAAACTCTATTTGATAGGGCTTCTTCCTATACCTATGAATTCCATTGGACCCAGAAATGATACATTGGAAGAATCCGGTGGGTCTTCGAATATCAATAAGGTTGATTGTTTCGCTCCTGTATCTTCCCAAAGGAAAAAAGATCTCTGAGAGTTGTTTCCTGAATCCGAAGAGAGTACTTGGGTTCTCCCAATAACTAAAAACAGCATGCCTGAATCTAACTGGGGTTCGCGTTGGTGGAGGAACTGGATCGGAAAAAAGGGGATTCTAGTTGTAAGATATCTAATGAAACCGTCGCTGGGGTGAAGTCTTATTCAAGAGAAAGATCTCAAATATCTGGAGTTTTTTTGTATATTATATGGATAGTCCGATCCGCAAGGACCATGATTGGGAAATTGTTTGATCGTCTTTCTCTGAGGAAGAGTCGAAATATAATCAACTTGAATTCAGGACCGCTATTCGAAATCTTAGTGAAACACTGGATTTCTTATCACCATGTCTGCTTTTCGTGAAAAAATACCAATTGAGTGGAGGGTTTCTTCAAACAACAGGGGCTGGGTCAGCTATTCAATCCAAATGATATTTGAGCATGTTTCCATCTCTTCTCGAGAAACAAGTGGGCTATTTCTTTGCAAAACTGTGCTCAATTTCATATATGTGGCAGACCGCAAGATCTCTTCGTTAGTTGGGGGAAGAATCACTTGAATCGGATTTTTTTGAGGAACGTATCGAGAGAGAATTGGATTTGGTTAGACAATGTGTGGTTGGTAAACAAGGATCCGGTTTTTTAGCAAGGTACAGAATGTATCGTCAAATATTCAATATGATTCCACAAGATCTAGTTTCGTTCAAGTAACGGATTCTAGCCAACTGAGAGGATCTTCTGATCAATCCAGAATCATTTGGATTTCCATTAATGAGGATTCGGAATATCACACATTGATTGAATCAAGAGATTCAACAACGAAAAGAAGATCGATTCTTTGGGATCCTTCCTTTCTTCAAACGGAACGAAAAGAGATAGAATCAGGCCGATTCCCGAAATGCCTTTCTGGATATTCCTCAATGTCCCGGCTACTCACGGAACGTGAGAAGCAGATGATTAATCATCTGTTTCTGGAAGAAATCGAAGAATTTCTTGGAATCCTACAGATCCGTTCGTTCTTTTTTCTCTGATAGATGGTCAGAACTTCATCAGGTTTCGAATCCTACTGAAGGTCACTAGAGATCATAAAATTGTTGAAGAAACAACAAGATCTTTCTTTTGTCCTTCAGGCGATCGGAAAAGAAAGAAATGGTTTAATATATTCAAGATAATTACGTATTTAAAAAATACCGTCTCAATTCATCCTATTTCATCAGATCCGGGATGTGATATGGTTCCGCAGGATGAACCGGATATGGACAGTTTCAGCCTGATTTCATTCTTGAACAAATCTGTTTTGATTTATTTCATCTATTCCATGACCAGAACAGGAGGATACACGTTACACTACGATTTTGAATCAGAAGAGATTCAAAAAATGGCAGATCTATTCACTCTATCAATAACCGAGCGGATCTGGTGTATCGCAAAGGGATTGCCTTTTCTATTGATTCCTGCGGATTGGATCAAAAACAATTCTTGAATTAGGCCAGGGATGGAGAATCGAAAAGAAATCTTTATTAGTTCTACCTCCTATTTTTTATGAAGAGAATGAATCTTTTTCTCGAAGGATCAGAAAAAATGGGTCCGGATCTCCAGTGGGAATGATTTGGAAGATCCAAAACCAAAAATAGTGGTATTTTAGCACAACAAATGGAGACAGTCACTCAATATAGATTTGATCGAATCTGATTCAAATACAATATCGTACCTATGGTACATAAGAAATGTATTGAATCGATTCTTTTTAATGAATAGATCAAGTCGCAACTTCGAATATATGGAATTCAAAGGGATCAAATAGGAAAGGATACTCTGAATCATAGAACTATAATGAAATATACGATCAACCAATATTTATCGAATTTGAAAAAGAGTCAGAAGAAATAGTTCGAGCCTCTTATTTTGATTTCTCGAACCGAGAGATCCATGAATCAGGATCCTGATGCATATAGATACAAATGGTCAATGGGAGCAAGAATTTCCAGGAACATTTGGAACAGTCCGATTCGAACGGAAGAGCCGTTTTCAAGTAGCGTTCGATCAATTACGTATTAATCAATATTCGATTGATTGGTCTGAGGTTATCGACAAAAAGATTTGTGCAGCCACTTCGTTTCTTTTTGTCCAAGTTGCTTTTATTTTTGTCTAACTCACTTCCTTTTTTCTGTGTGAGTTTCGGAAATATCCCCATTCATAGGTCAGAGATCTACATCTATGAATTGAAAGGTCCGAATGATCAACTCTGCAATCAGTTGTTAGAATCAATGAGTCTTCAAATTGTTCATTTGAAAAATTGAAACCCTTCTTAT